CTGGACTGGGGCCTCGCGCTTCCGGTTTTGCTCCCCCATCTGAGGCTCCCCCGCGCGTGGGGCCCGCAGCGGGTCGAGGCCACTCGGCCACTTTCAGCCCAGCTCCCAGCCCGGTCCGGATGGCCTCCAGCCTTCCCTCCCGGTGGGGGTGGGGGTGGGGAGGTCTGGATCCGCCCCCGGCCCTTGGCTGCCCGACTTGCCCTGACCTTCCCTGTTCATTCGCTTCTTTAGTAAATGGCTTGTCTTCGCCCCCGGGCCCCCGGGCCCCCGGGCCCCCGCCGCGTGCCTCTGCCCTTCTTGGCCGCCCGCCCCCTCCCCTTTCCTCCCCTTTCCTCCCCGCCGACGGCTGGGCGGGGGGCGACCCAAGCAACTCCGGGGGACTCTGGGACACCGAAGCGGCCCCTCCCCGCAAGCCGGGTTTTTTTAGAGCGGCCAATCACAAAGGAGCCGCCGAAACGGACCTGTCCGCGTGACCAATAGGAGCGAGCCGTCGAGGCTCAGCCAATCGGCTCCCACATTCCACAGGTTTGTTCTCGGAGCCAGCAGCAACCGGCGAAGATCAGGGACAGGTTTTCCAGGAACAGACAGGCAGATTGACTGACTGACTGACGGTGACAGACAGACGGACAGACAGAGTCTGCGCTGAGAGGGGCTTTAACACGACGGGGTCCCGCTCTGTCCCGCCTAGAGAGAGGGTAGGAGTTAAGCGGCTTCATGCCAGCTGTCGGGGAAGCAAAGGGAGGAGGCAGAAGTGAGCGCTTCCCGGCTTGGGGCAGGTCCGGGACCTAATGGGATGCTTGGTTTCCATCACATGTGGCCCACGGGACCAGCTTCCTTCGGTCTAAGCAGCTCTCGAGTCGGGTGACCACCCCCCGCCCGTTTACCTGGGCAGTCCAGCCAGCCAAGCACGTCGGCAGTCCTGGCCAGACCACGGGGAGACTTGAGGGCCTTCAGCAACGTTTGCCAGCCGTGCCCAGGAATGGGATGCGCAGTTGGCTGTGCCCAGAACCTTCAGGGAGGATGGTGACCCTACCCCCATGGAGGTACACATGGTCCTTCCCTGGGTTCTGGGGTGATGGCCCCCCAAAGCGGTACGAGATGGCCGAAGGATGAAGCTGTGGGCTAGGGCTTTGCTTACCAGCGCCACCTGGTGGAGAGGACCTTCCTTTGTCTCCCAATCGCAAACCTTCCGTGCCAGATTGACTTCGAGGTTGTGCCAATGGAAACAATATTTGATGTGCTAGACGACCTCAAACAGCAGAACCACTGGGATTCTAGTGTGCTGGAAACCTTTGATATCAATCAAATCCGCAGCACTGTAGTCCTGGGCTATTATGCCTGTGAAGGCAGGGCAAGGCCCTTTGGTGGGGGGAATTCCCAAGGTGCTCGGTCATTCCGGAGGAGAGGTGGAGTTCAACCTAAAAATGGGACGTGCTGGGAGCAGGGGCTCTTGGCCAAGCCTGGGCCCGGAGCACCCTGAGTACCCTTGCTTGTCTTTGGGCAGAGGGATATCTGGGAAAGAGGCTTTTAGCCTTAACCTAAGTCCTTTGGAATCTAAGGATATGGGGGGGGGGGGGGGCGAGAGACAGAAACAGACAGGGGGGGGAGGCAGAGAGAGAAAGAAAGAAAGAAACTGCTAATGTCATCCCTACTGGGGAAATGCCTCACTCTGAAGAAGTGTAGTGATTCTTCCAGCCTGGCAGGTGTCAGATCATTAACTTCTCCAGCACACATTGGTGAGCATGACGGTTAGCCATCTGTACCACTCCCTAAGCACAGTAAGATCAGAGACCCCTAGCCAGACACAGGAGGTTGGGCAATGGCGAATGAGCAAGGCTCTCGCTCACTTCTTCCAGGCTGCTTCCCTTTTGGGTTACCGGCTTGGGCGTCAGAAGCGTTAGATGGGGTCATTGCCACCAGCTCATCCTGACTTGCCCTCCCTAGTAGTACACCTCTCACAAGAACATAGTAGGGGCGGTGTCCATCCTGGTTGGGTACCTGCTGAGCCTCACAGTATCCAAAAGTTGCCATCTCACATGCCTGACCCAGCTTGACCCCAAGGGTGAATTCATATGATGGGGAGAATGAAACAGGAACCTAAGAGGCAAACTGTCCTTATATCGATGGCAATGTCCTTGTCATGCTAGTTTTTATGTACTTTTGGTGCTTGTAACCTGAGAGATCTTTCTATCATGGAGCGTATCACAAAGAATCTGTAAGAGGAAGAGTGCTCCAAGGACCCGATGGCGAGCACTGCTTTCCTTAGCCCCACTTTTGGTCTTAGATCCCAAACTTGGAGGTGCTCTATTGTCCTTCCCCTTCCCAACTCTGATTCTCTTTTATTTTGTTTTTTACTTTTTAAAATTCATTTATTTTTAGTTTTCGACATTCACTTCCACAAGATTTTGAGTTCCAAATTTTCTCCCCATCTCATCCCTCCCCCTCCCCAAGGTGGCATGCATTCTGAATACCCCTTCCCCTAATCTGCCCACCGTTCTATCGCCCCCCCTCCCGCCCTTATTCCCTTCCCCTTCAATTTTCCTGTAGGGCAGGATAGATTTCTATACCCCATTTCCTGTATATCTTATTTCCCAGTTGCGTGTGAAAACATTTTTTATTTTTTTTTTAACATTTGTTTTCAAAACCTTAGGTTCCAAATTTTCTTCCTCCCGACTCTGATTCTCTTTTATGCAGCTTCATGCCCCAGATGGCAGCAAACCAGGTTTTCGTGTATCTGGCTCCAACTGTGAGTGAGGAGCCAGAGGCAGGGTGGGAGAGATGGCAGGGGAAGTCACGAGTGGCGCCTGTGCGGACCCCACTGAGCTTCTACCAGCCGTTCCCCTTCAGCAGATGCTGAGGAAACTGCAGAAGACCTCACTGAAGTCTCCAGAACGGAAGCAACAGGGGAGTGGGCCCCTAAAGCCTTGACTCTTCCAGAACAGTACTTCTTAGCCACAATGCCTGTACAGGAGCTGGCAATACCCTGGATCTCAGGGGTGTCTTTGTAGTCTGCCAGAGTCTGGGGGGCTTCTGGGGGGACTGTCCTCCCTCCTAACCCTGGTGAGGTGAGAGCTACTTGGCCACTTCATAGGTCACTCCTGCCTGTTACAAAGACTTTCATGCCCTCCTCCCTCCCTGCTTCAAATCTGGCACTTGCCGGGTCCAAATGATAGCGCCACATCAACGGTAATCCAGGTTTTCCTTTTATTTAGCTGGGGGGGGGGGGGGGGGAAGGGGAGGGGAAGTTGAGGTTTCCATTGGGCTCCCTGTCTCAGATCAATGCTGGCAGAGGAAGAGGATTCCCCCTAGAAAGGTTCCCCTGCCTTTACTAGGCCTGAAGCCCCCCAGAAAATGAAGAGTGCAGTTTAGTCCGGGGCAGTGCTTCCTAAGTCACTCAGGTGTCCAGGTAGCTTCTACATGCAAGGGAAGAGCGTATCTGCTAGTGCACTGTCCTCTCCTTCTGGCGATGGTAATCTGGGAACGGAAGAAGCCACAGGCAGGTGGGGCAGAGAGCTGGCCTCCCCCTCTCCTCCCAGTTTCTGCAGCTAAAGAGTCCTAAAAGCCAGGGCCCTTGGCGATTACAAAGGGGACTGGGTCTATGAGCTCCAGAGCCCGGGGCGTGGCGCTCAGAAACGTACTGTAGGGGAAAAATCGGACCCGCATGCTGATGTCACGAGCTGTCTTCAGAATCTCCACAGCCTGCAAAGCAAAAGAAGCTAGGAAAAAGGAGAAACCGGCCGCGACCAGCCCCCAACGCCCGACACGTGCAGCTCTGCATGTCCTGAGCTGGCCAGTGGGACCCAGCCAGGGCCGGGGGCTCTTCCACCATACCCCACCTTGCTGTGCTCAATATCTTGGAAATCCACTTCATTCACAGCTAGAACCTGGTCTCCTTCCTGTAGTCCAGCCCGATGGGCATCTGAATCAGGAATCACCTGTCGGGAATATGAAGGACATGTGTGATTGGTGTAGGAAAAATGGGATATGTTAGGGAAGAGGGCACAAACCAGATGGGGGAAGGTGATTTGGCAGTTAGGGGATCAAGGTGAGAAATGGGTCCGCCAGCAGTTAAGAGCCGCTTTGTGAATACGGCGTCCATCTCCTAGCGGCAGGCCAACCAGAGTGTTACTCTCAGATATCCTGGTCAAAGACAATGCAGGAGGTCACCTTCCTCGCTGACCCACCTTGGAGATGAAGATACCCAGCTGGGAGGCCTTTCCCCCACGGATGTTAAATCCCAACTGTAAGAGAAGGACACAATGAAGGAGATTCAGCAGAGAAGGCGCCATAGACAAGAGCATCTAGTCCCAGCAAAGGACAACAGTAAAGTTAGCTAGTCTCTTGGGAAATAAGTAGAATGGCATTTCTGCTCCCCCAGGATTGAGGGGAGAATAGTGCCTGCTTTGGACCACACCAACTTCAGCCCTGGGCCGAACTCCAAGCAAACGCCCTTGGCAAGGCCCACTCCAACCCGGCATAAGAAGAGGCTGCTCCCCAGGCTCACCTGGGCTCCTGGGGGCTTCTTCAGCGTGATCGTCCGAGGTAGGAACTGGGTCAATTCATTGTTGTAGTCTGGGTGGTAGACCCTCTGCAATACATAGCCCACCCCCAGGAATCACACTCCCTTTCCAGGGGTCCTCCCTCTCTTCTACTTTCAGATCATTCTGGAACCAGGACAAGAGAAAGTAGCCATGGCCCAAGGAGGCCCACCAGTATCACCCGGCTGAGCAGGCAAATAGGAGTCCTCTCCTCCTGATGAAATAAAAACCATTGGGCTCTACATGTTGAGAATGCCCTAGAAGGGACAGGTTGGGCAGAAATTAGAGTACAGTATAACAAGAGTCGTTTGGGTAGCTAGGTGGTGTGGTGGATAGAGAGTTGTGTCTGGAATTGGGAAGACTCATCTTCCTGAGTTCAAATCCAGCCTCAAACACTTACTAGGTGTGTGACCCTGGGCAAGTCCCTTAACCCTGTTTGCCTCAGTTTCCTCATCCATAAAATGAGCTGGAGAAGGAAATGGCAAACCATTCCAGTCTCTTTGCCAAGAAAATCTCAAAAGGGACAGAGAGTCGACAACTGAAACGACTCAACAGCAACACATGGTTGTTTAGAAGGGCCCTTCCCAAGGGAGGCGCACACTGGAGATCTGCTACTCCTCGAATCAGAAGCACGAGGAACAGCAGGATGTCCAGAGCCCTTTACGGAAGGTTCCCAGGCAGGAGGTTCCCAGGCAGGAGGTTCCCAGGCAGGACGGTGAGGCCTTACCCTCCAATCAATCACTGACTTCCTCCTATCCTCCAGGCACCAATCCCCTGATTCACAGCAGCCTCCCCATCCCCCACTGCCCCCACACAAGAACTGTAGAATAACACACCTCATGAGGAGGAATCCAGGCAGGGGGATTCTCATAGGGTGGCAGGAAGACCACGGGGTAATCATCATAAGCAATCTGGCCTTCCATTTCTGGAGAGGGGCTGAAGGGCACAAACATAAACTGGCATTCAGTTCAGAAGGGTGAGTCAAACCAGGGCACAACTGATTGAGAGAGTGCTGGTTCTGGACCAGGGTTCAAATTCTACCTTGGGGAAATCTCTGCCTCTCTCTGGGTCTTTGTTGTCTCCTCTGGAAAATAAGCAGCCCCTTCCAGCTCTTGCTCTAAAATTCTGTAGTTCAATCTGGGCATCAGAATGATGCCAAGGTGATCTGAGCCACTGTCCCTCCTCCTCCCCAACCCCCCAGGCTGTTAGCTTGACTCAGATGAGGAAATCTTGAAGGCTGGAATTAAGATGGGGGGGGGGGGCTGGTTCTGGGTCAGTTATCTACAGGGGCACCAGATGCCACTCCCCTCCACCACGCACGCACACACGCACACTCACTCACACTCTCTGTCTCTCTCTCTCTCTCTCCGGGTCTCCTTTGCCTGAGGTATAGTAGCACGTAGCAGGGTCTGACAGATTGGTTAGAAACAGGGTTAGATAGAGTTGCTGAACCCTTTAAAGTCTGCAAATCAATTTCCATACGTTATCTCATGCCATCCTGTAATACACATTCTGAAGGCCTGTCCATAACTACATGTATACACATATGTACAAAGTCTGGTCCAGACCTGTGATTTCATTAATACAGAGAAGTCCCTCTCCCAATGCTGGCTGGGTAAAACGGAGATAATGTTTGCAAAGTGCTTTGCAAGCTTTAAATCGCTGTGGCACCTAGATGGCAAACTGAATAGAACATTAGGCCTGGAATCAAGAAGACCTGCGTTCAAAGTCAGTCTCGGAAAGTTATTAGCTGCTTGACCTTGGGCAAGTCATTGCGCCTCCATCTGCCTCTATTTCCTCAACTATAAAATGGGAATCAATAGCATCTACCTCCCAGGGTTGTTGGGAGGATCAAATATTTGTAAAGTGCCTAGCACCTAGTCGGCGCTTAATAAATGATTCTTCCGTTCCCTTCGGTGCCCCTTCAAGTCTTGGAGAGGGGCCAACGAGCACCGAGAGAAGCCATGACTTGCCCAGGGTCCCAAACTAGGAGGTGTGAGAGGCAGGACGTGAACCCAGCTCTTCCACGCTCACCAGACGTAGGGGGGCAGGAAGGCGAAGGCGAAGGCGCAGGCCAGCTCGGAGCAATGGCAGGGCTGGAGAAGCCCTTGGCTAGGGCGAGCCAACCTTCTCGGCTTCCCATGCCTTCCCCCGGCGCCCCCCATCCCGC